AAAAAAGCTATTGACAGTCCCAATAAAAGGAGGGGAAGATAATCAGCACATGCACCCAGGACTCCAACTTTCCCTTTCTCCTGCCCCATCCCCAGCTCCAAGTTGTCTTGAGGGGTGTGGGAGTATGCAGTCAAAGATTAACTAGAAATGGAACTTTCTCATGCAGCAGCTTCCAGAAGGCAATCTGGACTGTGCTGTTTTGAGTCACCCCCACTCTCATAGGCACCCTCTTACCCATGGTCCTGTCAGCCCAACAAACTAAGTCAGTCAACACTGCATTGTCTGTCACCAGTTCCCTGTCTGCATGGACAGAGATGTATTCTCACCTCACCAGGGAAAGTAATACAATAGACTCTCCTTCCTCTGCAGGTGGGGCTCAGGAGGCAAGTCCTTGGATAGAAACCTGGGTCAGGGTGTGTCAAGAAGCAGCCAAAATGGCCGGGCGGTGGTGTCACACGCCTTTAATCCCAGCACTTGGGTGGCAGAGGCAGGCAGATTTCTGAGTTCGAGGCCAGCCTGGTCTACAGAGTGAGTTCCAGGACAGCCAGGGCTACACAGGGAAACCCTGTCTCGAAAAACAACAACAACAAAAAAAAAAAAAAAAAAAAAAGAGAAAGGCTTTTAAAAAAAAAAGGAAGAAAAGAAAAAAAAGAAGCAGCCAAGAGCAGACATTGAATGGTTAGCTCACAAACAAATGAATCAAGGCGATCTGTAAACCAAGAATGTGAGTAGGAGGTACCTAAGTGGTCAAAACAAAGACTAACGCTCCCAAGGGGGTCTGCATGCCAGGGGCCAGGGACAGACAGAGCAGGTGCTTGGTCTCTCCAGTATGAACAAAACTGCTCATCTCCCCTGACAGGTGCTTTTAGTATAGGAGTAGAGACCTCGTTCAGCCCAGAGCCTGAGGTGGCTGCATGACAAGCAGTAGAGGCAGAAGTTTGTATGCAGCTGTGCTAACTAGCAACACTAATACCGCTCCTTGATTTCCCACCAGACTGCCAGGCCACAATTATGCTGTGACACACTGCGCACGCCAGCAGTGTATTCACAGATCCACATTCTTATTCTCCAACAGGGATGCCTCTAGTACACAGATGTCACTCCCACAGGAACACACACCTTCACACAGGCAGGCAACCCCCAGGGTACATTTACAAACTCGGATTTTTTTTATATAAATAGATGTGTATAAACACACAGGGACTGTACACAGAGATACATGACCTTTTTGTTTGTTTGTTTGTTTGCTTGTTTGTTTTGTTGTGTTTTTCAAGACAGGGTTTCTCTGTGTAACCCTGGCTGTCCTGGAACTCACTCTGTAGACCAGGCTGGCCTCGAACTCAGAAATCCACCTGCCTCTGCCTCCCAAGTGCTGGGATTAAAGGCGTGTGCCACCACCGCCCGGTGATACATGAACTTCTAAGACATACATGGGGACCTGCACAGTTCCACAAAGACAATTCCATACATAGAACACATGGATGCACGCACACACATCTCAAGTGTCTCTGCTTGAAGGTCTGCCTTCATCCCAGTACTATGGCCACAACCTTCCCTCTTCCCCACTAAATTAATGATTTGGGCCTGAAAGCATCTCACATTTAGGGGACAGTCAGACAGTAGGTTCACAGGAAGGCAAAAGCTGTGCTTATAAAATTCAGTCCTTAGTTCATAATAGGCTCTGTGGCCAGCTTGGTGGAGGCTCTGGGACTGCTGCCAAGGGCCTACACCAAGGCAATGTGGCTTGATGAGAGCTTTGTTCTTAGAGTCACCTTCTGCCTCCCTGTAGGACAGGAGTTAGCCCTGAGCCCGGTGGTGGAATAGGTTTTGATTCAAGAACAGCAACGTCTAGAAACTGGCTCTCTCCAGCTTCCAGCAGCTGGGTAGATGAGGGTAACCTGTCAGGGCAAGATAGATAAAGACATAACTGGAAGTGTCTTGCTTCTGTCATTGTGAACGGTAAAACTCAGTGAAGACCTAGTGGTAGCCGTACCACCAGGCACAATGTAAGATCACTTCACCTGGTATTCTACATGTGGGGCTGTAGCAGGATATTTATCTGCTACATTGTATTTGCAGTGGAGCTTGGTGATTGGGCAGTAAAAGAGGAGGTGGAGCTGGGAGAAGGAAAGAGGAAGGGGAGGAGAAAGGGACAGAGAGCTAGCAACTGTGGAGGAAGACGAATGGGTTGAAAGCAGTCCAGGGTAACAATGTATACCGAAAGGTTAGATATTGGGTAACAATTCTAATTGTGTGGGCATCTTGTTTATTGAGCATTTCCAAATATATAAATCTATTGGAGAATCTTTAAGTTTTAAGGGTCTTTATTCTACCAGGTACCACAAGCATGGCAGACATTATCAGGGGCTCAGCAGAGCTTTGTGGAGGCAGCATGGTGGGTTCGAAGAGCTAGTCGCCATGGCGTCTCGTGGGTCTTGCCTCTGGCCGCTGCTAGTGTGGAAGATGGCAATGGGAGCTAAGCAGAGTTGCCCCACGGATTAGATAGTTGGCCCCCACCGCGTCTTTTCTTTTTTTCTTTCTTTCTTTCTTTCTTTTTCCTTTTCTTTTTTTTTTTTTTGTTTTTTTTTGTTTTTGTGTTTTCGAGACAGGGTTTCTCTGTGTAGTTCTGGCTGTCCTGGAACTCACTCTGTAGATCAAGCTGGCCTCGAACTCAGAAATCCGCCTGCCTCTGCCTCCCAAGTGCTGGGATTAAAAGCTTGCGCCACCACTGCCCGGCTTGAACCGTTTTTTTTAAAATGAGGGTTCCTTAAGACCTATGGTTTCATTCGTAGGCCCAAACCAGGAGCTTACATTATCTCCTGCTATGGATATAACCTTTACTAACTAGGGGGAAACAATCCCCTACAGGACAGAAAAGGCCTGAGAGAGTACAGACACCAGTGACTGAAATTATTCCCAGGTTTGTTTTCTTATAGAACCCAGGACCATCAGCCCAGGGATGGCCTCACCCACAGTGGGCTGGGCCCGTCTCCACCAATGACTAAGAAAATGTTCAACAGGTTTATCTACAGCCCAATCATACCGAGGCTTTTCTCAATCTTAGTTCCCTCTTCTCAGATAACTATGGTTTGTGCCAAGTTAACATAAAATTAGCCAGCACTAGCCCCCTTCCCAAACTTCTCATCCTGTTGGTTTAGAACAGAAAAGTCTTATTTAATGAGTAATTTGGGGATTGAGAATGCTACCCCTTTTTGATCCATGGCTCAGCCTGTAACTTTCTAACTCTTCCAGTAAAGACCAGCAGGTGGCAGCCTCCAGCTAGGAGAGAGGGGCTTGGAATCTGCTTGTATGACTCTTGGCTCTAAGCTAAAAGAATTTCTTACAAGCTTGCACTGCACCCGACCTGGGAGGCTGTGACCACATGCCTTTCCTCTTCCCCGAAGGTGGCTTTGGGAATCTCACGAACTGACTTCCAAGCTAACAGCTGTGTGCTGACCTAGAGTCTGCAGGCTGAGCTCCCTAAAGTATACCCATCTGCATCCATTTGTTTCCAGGCTCTCTAATCATTAATGCGCTCTCTACTATTTCCTTTTAACTTCCGCATGTGAAGCCTGAGTCTGCAGCTGAATTCCCACAACGAATATGGCTAAGCTACCTTCTGGGTCTGGACTTCAGTCACTTTCTCCTGAAAACAGAGATGTGTTCGATTTTATTCATTAAAGAAGTAGTTTCCAAGTATTTTCCTTTGGCCTGGCAATGGGGACCAGGCACTGACGGCCCCCAGAATCGAGCTGGGGATCTAGAGGCGGAGGCTAGCATTAAGTCACCTTGAATTGGACAGTGATAGAGTAAGTGCAGTTGAATCCAAGCACTAACAGCTGTGTCTACTGAGAAGGATGCTAGTGGCTTGGGACCAAGCTCTGACATCCCTGAGTTGCCAGTGATTCTCCAAAAATAGATGACTGGTTCTGTGGGCTCCGGCTTCTCATGCAGGAGGCCCGGACTTGGACAGGTGGATTCTCCGGGTTTCGATGACAAGAGCCTCAAAGGGCTGAAGGGCGCATCCTTCACCTAAAGCAAAGTGCTGGATGATGCCTGCTGGGCACTACGCATCAGGCTCCCCAACTCTGGCGCCTGTGCGGTCGCTGCGTGTGGCCACAGCGACACCTCCTGGAGAGAGGTAACTCTAGCAAGTGACTTTCAGCGGGCATGAGTCCCGGTGCTGCTTCTCAATATCCAGCTTTCCAGCCTAAGAGCTTCACGAATGGCCAGGCGAGTGAAGTCACAGTCCCTGCAGGTCCGAGGACCGGACCCTGGAGGTTAGGTTCCGCGCGACAGAAACAGGACAGTCCCGTGGTCGTAAAGACCACTGCGCCTGCGCACTCTTGTCTTTGCGCGAACTCCCGTCACCGCTTGAGAAATTTGTCCTAGATGACTTGCCATCTGTTTCCAAGACAACCCGGGAGTCTCCTGGCAACGGTGCGCGGGCCTGTGCCGGTCTCCCGGCCCAGCCGTACGATGGCTGCAGCAAGTCCCAGCGTATTCCTGCTCATGGTCACCGGGCAGGTAGAAAGCGCACAGGTAAGCAGCCGTGGACCCCGCCTAGGGACGGCCCGTTCCTCTCCCCGGGCTCTTCCCTCAGCTCCTAGAGAGCCAAACCTTTGCTCTGAGCGTCTCAAATAATTGGAAAGGAGAACTTTGGCGCCAGGTTGATGGACCGGACAAGCATGAGTGAAAACAGACCTCGAGACGTTGAGCTGGTACCAAAGTCACACTATGGCCTCCAGCTTGGATCCTGTTTACTTGGTTGAGTGATGGTCTGGGATTAATGGGACTGAAGACTCAGCTGATCTATTTAACAGCTAGGAACTTTGGCAGTGACCAAAGTGGGATTCGACCCGGATCTGACAGACAGAACTTTGCTACATTATTCTCTGGCCGCTTGTTGAAATGCTCATTATTCCTACATATTCTGAGGTTTGGCTGAGATGATTGAAGTTCTACCAGGTCTGAAGCTCAGTAGGTGTCCCTGCCTTCCCATTCATTGGTACAGCACCCTCCCCATTTTCCTCTATCCAATAAGAGGATGCCTATCTACCTAAGCTGCTTACTCTGGATACCTTCCTTAGCTTCTACTCTGGACCTTCCCTTCTTCTGGGCCCTCAGTTATAAGCCATGTTCTTTGACTCTGTAGCTTCTTGGGTTTCGAGTCAGCATCATTTCTGTAGGTCTAATTTGTGCCCAGCACTGGGGACACATAGAGGCATGAAACCTGTTCCTTCCTCAGTCTAACAGGGTTGTCAGATAGACATTGGGTGTCCAGATGCAGAGTTGCATAGGAGCAAAGGGAGCCAAGCAATGATCCTTAAGCCAGCTAGAGTGTGAAGAACTCCTTGAGGGTAAATTCTGAAAGATGGGCAAGGGGCCTGGCACATGTGGACTGGGAAAGACAGAAAGCAGACCATGAGCAAAATAGCCTATGGGTATTGGCCGTCTGGGACTAGCCCCAACATCCTCATTTCCATTCCCTGCCCCTGCTGAAATCCATGTCCACATCCTCAGTCCCAGATGCCTCATGTTCATAATTCCTGCCCACTGCATCTGCTTGGCTAATGTGTGGGCCCTGTTTGCACTGTAGACAGAATGCTGTATACTTTTCTCTCAGTTTCCAGAGTATGATGACCTCTACTGCAAGTACTGCTTTGTGTATGGCCAGGACTGGGCCCCAACAGCGGTAAGTTGGACTCATAGGGCTCCCCTAGTTAGAGCTTTGGTGATTCCTGAAGTATCTATCATACCCTTCTAGAGACTCACGTGGTAGACACTAAGGTCAGAGATGACCCAAACATGGGTTTGTTTTTGGCAAAGCTAGTTTATAGAATACTACTGGGTTCACTAATATACCCCTGGAGTCTATGTTGGTGACAGCTTAGAGGGACAAGTGGCAGCCAAATCAGGCAGGCTCTGGAGAACCACCTGCCAGTGACTGTGGACACTATCAGCCAATACCCCCACCCGAAAAAAAAAAAAGGTCCCTTCTCAGACAGCAGAAAACAACCAGGAGCCAGGACAAAATGAAGGATATCTTCTCAAGATTTTGAGGAGTCTTTTACCACAGGAAGGGGCTGCGGTGCAGACCACCACCACACCATACTTTATAGTTTGCATAGCACTCACCTAACCTTCACAATAGTTTAAAAAGTAGCAGCCAGCCAAACATGATAGCATATTCCTGTGATCCAGCACAGAAGGCTGAGGCAGGAGCATCTCTAGGAATTCAAGGTCAACCTGGGCTACCTATATAATACCAAACAAATGGAGAAAATAAAGTAAAAGCCCAACTTCTTTGGCCTGAGTTCCTTCATCTGTACCACAGACATTTTAATACTTTTTGGAGTTTCTCTTATGATACTTGCATTTTTTAAAAAAAAGATGTTGCAATATATATTAGAGATTAATTTCATTTTAAATTATGTGTATGTATATTTGTGTACGAGTATGAATGCAGGTGGCTATGGAGGCCACAGGTCAGATCCCCTAGAGCTGGAATTACAGGTAGTTGTGAGCTGCCTTTGGAGCTAGAGAAATAACTGAGCAGTTAGAATGTGTACTTTTGCAGAGAACCCCAGTTTGATTCCCACATTGTGGCTCACAACCACCTGTAACTTAATGACTATTTGAGTCCTCTGGGAGTGACCAGTGTCTGACAGAAGTCCCCATCTTGTGGAGAACATCTGTTCTTGTTAAGGAGACACTAGGTAGGATACATTCTGGACTGTTAGCCAAGGACGGATGGGTGGAATGAAGGGGGAGCAGATCAGGAGCTAGAGTGTACAGGTAATGGGAAGGCAGACTCTAGACCAAGGCATTTTGGATAAATAGTTAAAGGGAGGGTGGAGACAAGCAACACAGAACTTAAATGACCTTCCCAACTTACCTACTTAAATAGAAAGGTCATGGGTCCTGGAACTCAGACCAGCTATCTCTGTCTATACAGGGTCTGGAGGAGGGGATCTCACAGATAGCATCCAAGAGCCAAGATGTACGGCAAGCATTGGTGTGGAACTTCCCCATTGATGTGACCTTTAAAAGTACCAACCCCTATGGCTGTGAGTCTGTGGGCCATGATGGAAGGGGGAGATCCTCTGCCACACCTGCCGATACTCTCCTTCTTTAGGTGGCCCTGCCAAGTGTCTGGGCTTGTGCCCTAGCTGATGCACTAAACATCTGCCTGTTTTATTAACAGCAGTTTGCACATGGAGCCTGCTGTGCAGTGCTGCAGTCATCTGGCCGGAGGGTTTGGCCCCAAGTTGTCCAGCTTCCCAATGTAGTGCTCCAGTCAGCTCCAGTATCTGCTCATCCTGTGCTAGTTGCTTAGGGCCCTCTTCTGAGTCTTTTGTTCATGTTCTGGGCAAAGCTTTCCCCTCACCCTATAGACAGCCTTCTAATCCTGAGCCCTTCCAAAGCTAGCAAAGCAAGCAAAACAATAGAGGACAGGTTACAGTTGATCTGCCAGAGTTAGCAAGTGTGTAGTCTAGTGGCAGTTTAGAGAACCCTGATGGGGGAAGCAGCCATCAGAGTACAGTGTACTGTAGTACTGAACAGAGACCTGCCTGCCTGAGTCCTTTCCTGAGCACATACCCAACAGAGACTAGAACTCAGAGACAAGTACACTGCGTGATGAGCCTGTGTGTGACTGATCTGAGACTTACTGCAACAGTTCTCAAAGGAACAGCCCATGTGCCCACAATCACAGTTGACTGCAGTATATGGTGATGGTCAGGTAGTTAGCACTGAGAATGATCAAGCCACTATACAGGAACTATCTGAGTGAGTAACTCCCAGGTTACTTTTGGTGACAGAGTAATAGTGTGAAAGGCACAGATTTCTTTATTCTTTACTGTTTGGTACTATTCCAAGGCTTTTAAACATAAGAAGGGTCATGAGAGAAAAGGTTGGTGAACTTATCCGAGGCCATTCAAGAGTAACTAAGAGCCAGCTCCCAGGCCTCACCTGTCATTTAGAGTAGTAGATAGTAGTAGATCTGTCTGCTACACCTAGAGAGGGCAGACACCTAGTGTCTGGCTGGATGTGAACAGGAAACATTTGTAAATGTCAGTAATGTTAAGGAAAAAAAATACCTGGAAGGCCATGCTTTTCCACAGGATGTCACAGTTGGTGAAGACCACACACATCAGTGAGGAAGAAAGCAGGGGCTCAGGGTTGGCACAGGGCCTCCACAGGACTTACTGTGTCTACTAAATGTTCTGGCTCTATCTTCCCAGCTGTGAGCAAAGGTATGGAGAGTACTCCCAGGGCACCAGCAGAGATACAGAGAGTAGCGGGGGACAGAAGCCCTGGGTGTGAACAGGGATCCCAGGACTTTGGCCATCATTCTCTTAAGTGTCTGTTCCGGACTTCAGCTAGGCACACCATTTACTACTCCCCTTCTCTGGTTTTCCTACATACCAACCTTGTCCTTCCCAAGGGCCACAGATTGTACTCAGTGTGTACGGACCAGACGTGTTTGGGAATGATGTGGTCCGAGGCTACGGAGCTGTGCACGTGCCCTTCTCTCCTGGACGGTAGGTGCCCACTCTTGACCTGGCCCCTGGTCAGCTGCAGAGTTTGCCCTTTACTGGGAAGGCAAACCTTGAGAACAGCAGCTTTAGACTCAGGCTTTCTGGCCACTGTTCCTTCCTCTGACTTGGGCAAGTTATGTTCAGGGGCCTGGGTGGCCTGGGTATAGTCCTGCACCTTGGAAAAGACCCACATACGTGATGATGTGTACTTCTGGAGAGGGATGGTAGTGAGTGTAGAAAGAACAAAGTCCTGTATGGAGCCACACACCTTGATCTGTTCCTCAGCACATCTCTGCATAAAAACATTTGTTTCAGGCACAAAAGGACCATCCCCATGTTTGTGCCAGAGTCTACATCTACACTGCAGAAGTTCACAAGGTAGGTCTGCTCGCTCTTGATCTAATGGGTAACTTATTTGTCAGCACCTTCCACCCTGCTGAGACCTGGAAACCTCACAGGTCTTCAGGTGGCTGCACCTAGAGACAGGTGCCACTGCTGAGTCCTTGTGCTCCTTTGGCCACTCCCTGGTAGCTTAAGGCTGTAAAGCTTCCTTCTGTGCCCTGCTAGTCTTTGTCACATGGAAAGCAGCATTAGGCAAATTCTTTAAGATAGTCACAGTGACACTAGATTATGAGGCATCTACTAAATGCCTCGTGCATTGGCACCACAAAGGCCATTTTGGGTAGGAACAAGAGCACTAGCCATGAAGAATTTGGGAAGCATGTTCACACACAGGGCCCGATGACTTCTTTGCAGGCCCTGAGGAAGACTTAAGAGTTAGGAGCAGCCAGTAGCCAGGACATGACAGTGAGGATGTCCCACACAACGAGAGAGAGAGATGCCGTAGAGGAAAGGCCTTCTACCCTTTGCCACATCCAAGTAGGAATTTGAAGGGCTGCTAGCCCAGCTCTGCTGCATGCTACCTCTGCTCCTCATTGGCTAACAAGGATGAGAAGAAAATGAAGGGCCACTGGGTTCTTAGGCAGCAGCCAATGAGCAGATTCTTGCAAGCCAGTATCAGGCAGAGGGACCTGGTCAGAGTCCTGACAGTAAGAGAGAGAGCTCAACCAAGGAAGCCATCTGAAGTCTGTACAGGGAAAGGGCCATGTTCACCATTGGCTCCAGCCCTAAGATTCAGATCCCCATTGCCACTAAAATACTCTCTAGGAGGAGCTCTCAAGTAGGAAAGGGCTTCTCAGCTATGCCTGGGCCAGGATCACCTGGGAGAGATAGAATCAACCTTTGAGACTGGAGTAGTGGTCAAGCCATGTTAGTGGGCTTAGACAGTCTGGCAGCCATAGGAGAAAGGGAACTAGACCCTAGTTTTAAGAGAGCTGAAAAAAAAAAAGGTTCTGGGCATCAAGAAGAAAGACTTATGGCTGGCTGCCTTGACAGTGCCTTGCTTATGTGGATAGCCCAGGATAATTCTACTTTGCAGTGTTCTTAGTAATACCTACATAGACCCTCTTCACAAATCAGGTCACCTTCCCAGTGTCTCCAGTCCTTGATCAGTATTGGTAAAGTTGTTACTCAGACTTCTGCAGTCTCTCCAATCTAGTCTTTAGTCTTAGGGAGGTGTCGCTGCCAGAAGCTGCTGTGGCTTACCCTCTGCATTTGGGAGTCTCCTGAGTCAGGATGGCAGTGGCCTCTCATTGCTTGCTTCCCATTTATCTGCCCTTGGATTTTTGAGCCTGCTAGGTTCTGCTCTGCCTCAGCCTTTGCCTGGAACATTGTTCTGTCTCTTCTCAAATGAAAAAAAAAAACATTTTTTTTTCATTTAAAAGAAATATAGAGGGGCTGGTGAGATGGCTCAGTGGTTAAGAGCACTGACTGCTCTTCCAGAGGTCATGAGTTCAAATCCCAGCAACCACATGGTGGCTCACAACCATCTGCAATGAGATCTGATGCCCTCTTGTGGGGTGTCTGAAGACAGCTACAGTGTACTTATAATAAATAAATAAATAAATAAAGTTTTAAAAAAAAAAAAAAAAAGAAAAGAAATATAGAGAGAACTCTGTGGAACAACTCCACCAGCATTCCAGTTTGCTGGAGGAGGTAGGACTTTGTCTTCTTTCTGGGCAGTTTGTAGCAGGCTTTCTAGTAACCATGACTATAGAAGAGAACTGGAAATATGGTGAAGGTGAGATGTGCCTTCATGCCAGGGATTGCTGAGACTCCTCATAGTACTAAGGTGAGTGCAGTTAGAACTTTGCTCTATGATGGGGAAACACAAGAGGAACACCCACTCATCTAGTTTCTTCTGGAATCCTTAGCTGTAGGAACCCGTGGCTTTTCTACTTAGGTTGTCTAAACTCTTATTCTCCTGTGGCCCCCTTGGGAACTCCTACCCAGCAGTCTAACAGGGCTGCTGCTGTCTAGCCTGAAGTCCAGGGATCTAGCCATACCCTCAGCATAGCTTTAGGTGGTGGGCGTGTAGTCATGGCTACCAGAAAGCCTGCCACAAACTGCCCAGGGGAAAGACAAAGTCCTACCTCCTTAGGCAATCAGGAATGCTAGTAGAGTTGTTCCACAAAGCCCGAGTTGGTTGGTCCGGACTGCTGTTCTTAGGCTAATCCTATATTCTCCAAACCTACAGTCTCCAGCAAAATGCTGGGTCTGTATCCATGGGCCTTAGAGTCCTGGGTGGGGCCCAGGATCTGAAGTTTGGATTAGGATTGTGAATTACAAGACATTTGTAGGAAGTGCTTCTGAGTTTGCCAGCCTGGGCCTGGGAGCTGAATGGTTCCCTTAGCTAGGTGAGACTTCTTAAAAGTCAGATGACCTGTCGTTATCCACAGCCTTCCAGGGCCAGATCCTCCCTAGAAGGGGTAATGTTTTATGTGGCAGGTGATAGGGTGCCTTCACTTTTTATAGTCTTATAAGGTAGGTGCTATTATTATCTTAGAGTACACAAACAGGTTCAGTGATGGAGTGTGGCTTGTTCTGGATCCCATAGAAGGAGGCAAAGCTTAGGAAGCTGGTTCTGGCCCTTCTTGGGCTCTCTCTCCTGAGGAGGCTAAGGGTCATGTTGTTTTGTTTCCACTCTTCTGACCCATCTGTTTCTTTTGGGGGTTTCCATGGGTTCAAGTTGTACTATTTGCCCCACATTTCCTTCTGCATTCATTCTTGGTTTAAAACCACAAAAGACTTGGCCAGGTAGGCTAGACACTCCTTGGAGCATCTGTAAACACTGCTAGAACTGTTATCAATGGACCTCTAACAGGGGACATCTCCTGGCACCCCACTTGGCCTTTCAAATAGGTAAGAGGTTGTCCTAGCACCTAGAGGAGGGGTTGTAGGAGAAATGTTCCTTTAAGCCTGGAACACTCTTGTTCAGTGTCTGAACCAGCAAGTCTCAAGTGTTCCTCACCAGTGTTTTCCTATGTTCTCAGCTGGTTCATGGGACGGCGGCCCGAATACACAGACCCCAAGGTGGTGGCCCAGGGTGAAGGCCGGGAAGGTAAGACTGATGCTCCCAACTGTAACTGAAGGGTTGAGATGGGCCCCCAACCCCTAAGAGCCCAGAAAACAGATGTGTGAAGGCCAGGGAGCTTCCAGACAACTGGGACCTAGTAATATACAAGACATCTAAAGAATTTTCTAACCACCACCTACACAAGGGCTTTAGCAGGTGGTTTTCCATGTCTGTCCCAGTCAAACCCAGCTAATGCTCAGCTTCTGTCTCCAGTGACCCGTGTTCGCTCTCAGGGATTTGTTACCCTCCTCTTCAATGTGGTGACCAAGGACATGAAGAAGCTGGGTTATGATACTGGGCCTGTGGACACACAAGGAGTCCTGGGTCCCAGTCTACCACAGGGCAACCCACAATAAACTGTCAGCCTTTCTGTCCACCACTGGGAACCAGATGCCCTACAGCTCACACACAATCAAGGACATAACAACCAGGCTGGGAAGTGGGGGAGTTAAAGATAGTTTTATATAATAAAGTATCACATTTTTTTTCAGAGATTCTGGGGCCTGCATTTCTTGATGTCTTCATTAGTACCTCTCTAACAGGAACAGGCCTGGGGCCCAACAGGATATACCCCAGTAAGATGTCATGCTGGAGTAGAGGCCTCTCCAGGATTGCTAAGCAGCTTGCAGAGCTTACACCCTTTCACTGCCTTAGCACTCCTTTCTAAAAACTTCTCTTCCTCAGCAGCAGGAAGTCATTTGTTCCATGGCTGCCACTATGACTATTTACCACATTGTTTGCAGAATCTCCAACAAGTACCCCTTGGGGCGCCTGCCTTCCACCATCTATTCCTATTCCCTACACCCATCCTAATACTGTGTGCTGCTAGGACCCTGAGATAGGGCAAGAACCATCCCAGGCAGGAGGCTATACACATGAACTAACATGTAGTCAAACTATACAACAACTGTTGGCCTCACCAAAGAGCTTGCTGTGAAGCAGCCTTCTCCAGCTGTTCTTGTGAAGAGCCTATTCCACAACTTCTACCCTTGCAGTAGTCTACACCCCACAGTTCAGCAACTTCATCACAAAAAAGTCTCTCCCTCAGACCAGAACTCCCACAGCCCGATGTCCTTTCTGCACACTAGCACTCATGGGTGCCACTTGTACACACTCCACTTTCTGTATGTCCATCCTTTCTGCATCCTAGCTCAGTAGAGATTCACCTGCCATAGTGCTCTTTTAACTCACCGTCAAACCCCCATAGCCTCACTCTGCCCAAAGTTCTCATTTATTCCTCAGACCACTCCCTCATGCCAACCCCGTCTTTAGACCTCAGCACATCTGTAGCCACAACCTCAAGTACCTCCTCTTAACCTAGAGATGCTACCACACACAAATTCCTGCACTCTGTCTTTTCCCAAGTATCATATTGACAAGGAGTGGCCCCTTCCTCTCTGCTCAGGCTCACTGCTCTGCCTTCAACTAAGCTCCTGGGTTAGGAGCTCTCTAGTTCACCCTCTGCATCTCACCTCATTCCGCAGGTCTCTTGCCCCAACACCCATGCCACCTGGTCTCTTGCACCTCAGAATTTGCCCCTTTCCAGTCCATCTCCAGCCTCATTTGCCAAAAGCTGGTGGACAGCCCTTCCACATTAGTCCACTTCTCCTCCAGTCTACCCTGGACTTAGCATATCCGTTGCTGTAGATTGCAACGTACTCATTAGCCATTACTCTTTTATTAAAACTTTCCAGTGAGAATTTACAAGCATCAAGATGCATCTAAATCTGTGCTGTATGAGTGGTTTCAATGAATACATGCCCCAACCCTAGTCAAGGCGCAGGAAGGTATCATTACCCAAGAGCCTCTTGCATATCTACCAGTCAAGGTGAGAAACCATGCAGTAGAGAACTTTGGAGGCCAACGGCTGGAGCATGTCTGGAGTGTGGGATTTTACTAGACACGTGACTGTTACGGCACAGGACACCTAGGTTTATCCTTCACTTACTGTCACAGTCGTTTCTGCCAGACTGTTTACTCTTCCCTAACCAAACCTTTAGACTACATTTCCTAGGCCTCTCGTGTCACTTTGTTAAAACTTAAAAAATGCTGAAAGGTTGTTCACCACATAGGAAGCCTGACTCCTTAAACTCCCAGAGTTGTCCTTGCTCTTGTCCATGGAGTCCTTGGAGGCCCACACTGAAGGCAGCAGCATGATAACAGTGTGGTATCAGATTCCAGCCAGAAGGGGCGCTACAAGGACACTCCTGCTGGACATTTTGTGGGGAAATTCTATTCTGTTCTATCCTGAACAAAAAGAAAGGAGGCAGTGGGTCTTATTCCTGTATGGACTCTTGACAAACTGTTGTAAGGAATGAGCTTATGTTGTGACTAAAATTCAGAAAATATGGTATATGGCACAGACACCCCAGCAGGGTAGTAATAGGAAAACAGCAAAGAGCCACTAGCAGAACTCAAGGAAGGTTCTATGGCTGAACCAACAGCTCTGGGGAGGACAGTAGGATGTGCCAGAAAAGCAAAGTTTGGGGGAAAGTTTGACAGTCTGCAAAAGCAGAAAGGAACAGAAACAAAGAAAGCTAAAAACTATTGACAGCATAAGATTAGGAAGGACTGGAGAGACAGCTCAGCAGAGAGCACTGGCTGATCTCCTATTAGGATCTGACTAAGTCCTAGCAACCATATGGTAGCTCATAGCTGTCAGTAACAGCTGTCAGTCTGAGGGGATCCAACGACATCTTGTGGCCTCCAAGGATAGCAGACATGCTCATAGCACAGACGTATATTCAAACAAAACACTCATACACAATAAAAATAATTAAAGGGGAAAAAAAGGTTAGGTAAGAGAACTCTAAAGCTCAAATGTAAGACTGAAAATTAAAACACCTAGTCTTTTGGTAAAGAACAAATGAAGAGCCAGACATGGTGGCACATGTCTTTAATTCCAGCACGTGGAGGCAGAAGCAGGCAGATCTCTGAGTTCAAGGCCAGCCTGGTCTACAAAGAGAGTTTTAGGACAGCCAGTGCTGTTACATAGAGAAAGCCTGTCTCAAAAAACAAAACAAAAGCAGTATGTGTCAATGGAACTTGTAGAAGCAAAGAGCTCACAGCCTTCTGAGGTTCTGAGGGAAGTAGCCTCATGTCAGGGTTTCTGTTGCTTAAAAAACACCATGACCAAAAGCTACTAGGGAGGGAAGGGCTTAGTGGCTTACAATTCTACATCACAGACCATTATCGGAATAAGTCTGGGCCATTGAGGGGTGCTGCTTACTGAGGCTTGTTCCTCATGGCTTGCTCAGCCTGCTTTATTACAGCAACCAAAACCAGCCCAGGGATGGCATCATCTACAATGGGCTGGGCACTCCCCTACTGATTACCAAATAAGACAGTGCCCTACAGGCCTGCCCAATCCTATGAAGACATTTTCTCAATTGAAGCTTCCTCATCTCTCAATGACTCTAGCTTGTGACAAGCTGACATAAAATTTGCCAGCACAAAACCACAGGATCCATGAGCACAGTACTCAGAACAAGTCCTGGCTAGCAATACCTATGTGCAGGCAACAAGCTGGCTCCTGGCTGTTCACTCAGAGGGTGGGCCTCCTGCAGAACTGAGCCTGAGCCATCCCAGACCTATCCTGCACTGGAGGGCCTTGTGGGGCCCCAGTGTCACCCTCACAATACTTATAGCACTGTCACTCACCCTGCTGCTCGGCGGGCCATCTCGAGAAGACTCTGCCTCCATAGGCCCTCAACTCTTAGCTGAACACAGAAAGAACCAATCAGACCTTTTGGTCTGAGAGATAAGACTGAAGGCCTTGGTGCCCAGAGGGCTACCTGTAACAGTAACTGGTAACCTGCTAATCGAACCTACCTCCTACTATCCAGGACACAGAAGATATCCTGTCTCTGTCAGAACTGACAGAGACAGCCTGTCTGTGGAGAGGGTGGAGAGGTATGGGGACTGATGATCGGTAATGTGGGAGCATATCCAAATAAATCCTGTCCTCCTCGAGTTACTTTGGCCATGGTGTTTTATCACAGCAAAAGTGACCCTAGACAGGAAGTGAGTGGGAAACCACTACAGCATACTGAGAAATGGCCTCAGAACTGGCAGCCATCTGGGCTAATATTTGCCCAGCACAGCCTTCAGACAGACCATGGCAATGTCCATCAAAAGCAGACCCTGAGTCTGTCTGCAGACCAAGCTGCTTTCCCCTGGCTAGCGCTGCCACATCTTGTCCCATTGGATGGTTAAAGACAGAATAGTGAAAGGACACAGCCAAAACCCACATCATGATACAAATGATAAATTATATTTATACAGTAAATAAGTATCAACAGTCAACACAGATCCAAAACCACCCACCAGCCCTGGGACTGAGAAACAGCTGGGTGACATCCTTCAGGGTATTCGTCAGGAAGGGCATGGTGGCACGTGTGGAACACACATGGCAGTGGCCAGCGGCTTCAAGATCAGTGCAGCGGGTAACAGGGACATGCGCTGGATGGCCTGTGGAAGGAGGACCCCAGAGGCTACTGGGATGGCCCCAGTCAGATGAGTTCTTGTCTTCTGGAGCAGGGTCAACAACAGCAGGCAGTTCTGGCCCTAGCCTATACAATCTGAAGGACGCACAATCTGGACTGGTGCCTGGCCTTCCTGTCCTATGATGCCTCCATGTCTCCCAGGCAGGAGCCCAGTCATCAGCCTTCCTGAATAGCAGAACCCAAGCCTATCCCTAGGCCTCTGGTCCTAGGTGGAATGGGGAATTAGGAAGGGCCCTTGGCTTGTGGGGCCTAGGAGCAGCATGTAGACTCAGACTCAGGAGGGGCTTACGTACAGTCCTCTCAAACAGTAACCACTGAGTCAACTATGTGGGTGATGGGGGCCAAAAGTTTCTCTGGATGCAGCGAGGAGCTGGCAGGTGGCTAGGTGTCCTTGGAGCTTAAGGTTAGAAGTCCATATTGCAGGAAGAACACACAAACTGCCAGGACCAAGAAGGGGTAGTCCTTTCTCTGAAGAAACGCAAGTCTGTGGTCTCTAATTCAAGATTTAATACTTTCCTTAATGGTGAGTAGTGAGGACAGCAGGAGGTTGGGAGAGAAAGGGTAGTATCAGTGCACATATGTTAAATCTATGCCATGTGAGGACTTTTCATCTCCAAAATAGGATGTGGTTACTTCCTGGTCAGGAAGCCTGAGTTGGAGCTGGCTGGCAGACAATTCAGGGCCAGTTCCTGTCATGACTCAGCTAGGGGGACCATCCCTGGTGACCTCTGAGCCTACAAGTGTAGAGTCATCCCCATTTTCACACAATCTCATTAACCTGAGCATGATGATGGGGCAGCCAGCCACACTTCTGGTCTGCAGTGAACAGAAGTCCCTGGCAATCCCTGCATTCCAGGTACAAAGAAAAAGGATTAGTTGATAAAAACTGGCAAGTGACAATCATGCAGTTTTCCTTTAACCTTAGGATGTCAATATACTAGTAGCAAAAAACGCCTCTCGGATCTAGGCAAAAATGCTGAAGAGTCAA